TTTTTTTTTCTGGGTACTCCTATGTGCAAGGACTTGTCTCCCCTTACTTTGTCATCTTACTGTCACAGAGAAGAAATGGTTCAAGCTATCTTTGATAGCCTACTTTCCAGAACTGCTGCAGTTCCTCTTCATCAATTCAATGCAATATGTATTAGTTGCTGATACAGGATTCCCTGCTTGACTTTGCTTCTTGATCTTTGACATTTGTTGACCTAACAATGTTGCACATCTACTGTTCTCTTGCTCTTTTTTCTTGGTCATCATTGGGATGTTAATTGGCTTTATATGCTGTAGATGGTGCTGATACTGCAACAGTGAAGAAATCGCTACCTAATTTTATGAACTACGGAAAAAGTAATAAAGAATCTGTGGCTGAGCTCTTTGTCACTCTACTGATCAAGGTAGTGCTTACACCATTGGTGATAATTAAGTTATTTATTTTAGTGGTGTTGGTTTCTTAACCAAAATCGACCTTTACTTTTTTATCCTTTGCAGTTATCTTCTGTTGAAAATCTGTGGCCCAAAGGTCTCTGCGTGAGCACGTATGATGGATCTTGGACGTCCAAAACGTGGAACTCTAAAGTTGCTTGTATAAGTGTAATTACACTTTATTTGTTATACTTGATTTGTTATGCTCTTGGATATTTAAAGTATATGGTAATTATCATTCTTCACAGGTCGAGGATTTTAGTGATCGGTCTCAGAATGTTGCTAGGGCAGTGGGACAAGTGCAAATAAAAATGATCTACGAATGTATTAAGCTTTCTACCCGGTATGTTTTATCCTTCATGGATGGCCAGATTGGAGGAGTTCAATTGAAGGAATTTTTGTTCGGCCATGATGGCATCACTACTTTACGTCGAATACGTACTTCAAATTCTCACCAAATTGCATCATTGCGTAACATTCCCTCTCAATCGAACAAGAGGAAAAGAAATAGAAACAAGGAACGTCAGGAAGGAAAAAAACAAGTTATGCCTCTCGATTTTCTCCCTACAAAGAGAATAGCCTCCACGCAAGGTTGGGCAGGAACGTCTGCAGGGAGTTTGGGACAAGTCGAGCAACCTATGTCATTTGAATTTGGTTGGATGAATAAGACACGAACCACTGAAGGTTGGAGAGAGATGCCTGATGATGACACTGAATATGCTATGCCTTGTGATCCCCGAAATGGGCAGCAACCTATGGATGGTTGGGGTGGAACTCAGCACTCCAGCACAGGAAGTCAGCGTAAGGTCCATGCTGAAGGCTGGGGTGGAACTCAGGAGCGCGTTGCAGGAGGTTGGGGTGCTGAAGGGTGCGTAAGAACTCGGGAACCTGTTGCAGGAGGTTGGGGTGGGGTGCATTCTGAAGGCCAGGTAGGAACTCGGCTACCCACTGCTGGAGGTTGGGGTGGAAGGCAAAACTATTTCCTGTAAATATAATCCTATTCGAACATGAGACCCGGACTGAAATTACAATTCCAATCATCACCTTTGCTTCTAGCTGTTGTCACACCCCCTTGGGTGTTTGTGTATGCTGGTTTACTAAAACTTTCTTGCCTTTGCTTCCAACTACTCAGCCTCCTGAATCCCTTCTTAATTGGAAGTTTTATACAGGGAACCTGTAACGCCCCATTTTTTTTTTTTTTTTTTTTTTTAAAAACGGAAACGTTACGAAAACTCATTTTTCTTTAATTAAAAAAAATGCGGAACTATATAAAATTCTTCAATAAACAAATAATTGTAACGTTTAAATTAAAATTATTGAAAGCGTATCTAACCATAAACATAAACTCTTAAGTAATTCAAATAATGCGTTCTAAATTAAAATAAACAAATTGCTAAATTTAAAATGACAAACTTATTTTTTTTTCTCTATTCTTTATCCATTTGGCAGTCCGCATCACCAATTCTCCACTGTTCCAATCGACCCGAACTAATCTGAAAAATTAATGTAAGAGTGAGTATTAAAAATACCCAGTAAGATACGTGCAAATTTCCATACACAGGTATATAACAAATAAATAATACACTTCATACCGCTCTTCTCTTATGGAGTATATCGGTGACCAAGCGACACACCCATCTTAGGTCCTCTTAATTTTCATGTAGAAATTTCATATCTCTTTCTCTAGAACCCGAAGGTCCACTAGCATTCCATGCATATTTAATCGCATATAAGAGCATAAGGAAACGTAAACACTTTGCACATAAATGTATCTTACCTTGTTATCGAAATGTACACGAATAATATTTGAATGCACGTTCCAAAATTCCTTCCTCTACTCTGTGAACGATTTATTGATCGACAGTGATAGTTGATGTATGACAAATTTCTGTTTTCACACACTCTTTCCTCTTTCTCTCTCTCTCTCTCTTTCTTTCTTCTCTCTCTTTCACGTATGAATATTTTTTTGGTGTGGTAAAATATGAAATCATTGCCTAGTATTTATAGGTGTAGGCTAGAGTAGTAGATAAACCAAAACTTTGATTTGATAAAGTCAAATCCAATGTGGCACGTATCATAAAAAAATTGTACTTTATCATTATTTTATTTCATCTAAAAGAACTACCATTCATATCCAATAAAAATGTGGTAGCCAATCAATCAAATTCAAAATGGGTTAAAACTATATAAAATTATATTTATCTTGTTTTCTTTCAATTGGGTATAACTTAAAACGTTCTTATCCAAATTAACTTTTCTCGAGTCATAGACTTCTAATTAATTACGACCTTCGAAATGAGTCTAATATTGATATACATATCATTACTTTATCAAAATCCAATTATTTGACCCCAAATATATAATATATTAATATTTATTTCACCTTAATCCCTCACTTTCAAAATAATATAATAATTTATTTATTTTCTTAAAAATTTTCGGAATGTTACA